GACTGAAAGGTGGAGGAGAGGGAACTTATTCTTTGTTGCGTAGAAAAAAAGTCGCTCTGGACGTTAAGTCTTCTGCAGCGACTGCAGGAACGAGACGGTCAGTGTTGTCATACGAGATGAGCTGCGTAGACTGTTTTCTGAATAACAACACGGTGAAGCTTACATTGACATTGTCCGAGTGGTAGTTCGCGATACTCATGACTTGGCCGAACCACGTCATAATCAGCTCGAGACAATGACCTACACCGGTGCATTCTCTTTTATATGTGAATAATCGAAAGTTTCTGCGTTAGAAGCTGACTAGCGTTCGCTCTAGTATAAGCTCGAAAACTTGTGTCATGTGCGGAATCTGGTCAGAATAGTCTAATAGAATCAAGCTTGCGACTTTGAACTTCCCGAAGGTCTGCATGCCCGGCGGCGCGGCACGCGTCATACGTCGAGCGCAGGATATGAAGGTTGGCGTAACAGAGGCAAAACGACGATAGCATGCCAACCTTAGTACGGAGAACTCTTTATCGTCTTGTTCTTCGAGCGCCTTAATAATGATATTGTCACGGATGGGTGACAGCAGCCAAGATACAGAAGACTTGAAAGCTTGTATAAATGAACGGGAACACGTTTATTTGGCAAACTTGCACCACTAAGAGAAACTGTACACCTCTGCGTCGGGGGCAGCCAATAAGTGCTGGGCGGCCGTCAAAGGTAGGGAAAAAAAGACATCGTCGCCCATTCCAGATACGCCCACCGATGCGTCTGCATACGCTGGACAGTGGTCATGCCGGATAAATTGCTCCACGTCCCGTATCACAAAGAGATAAGGCTGTGGGCTGACATGCACCGATTGAGATGAAAATGCTTATTGGTGATATTAGGTGCGGATATGCGCTCTCGTATTTTGTCTTCTCATGGCTTAATGCTCACAATACCTTCTATTAAAACAAAAAAGACAGAAGTAAGCGAGCAATACAGACGAGAGAAAAAGAAACAAAAAAAAACAAACCAGGAACTAAGAAGGTGTCCCAGCTCCACACTTCTTAAACTCAGGCCTATTAGTGCAGGTGTCTTTTTTGTGAGTGAAGTTGGATCATGCGAAAATAAAGAAACAAGTTTACGGGTTAACAAATTATATTTTAGATATCGGGCTCCGTTGATACGCTTACGGTAAATCGGATGCCCAGATTATGCCTATTCTTCTGTTACTGATTGATATGTGGGGTTTAACGTCCCAAAACTACCATATGAATATTAGAGACGCCATAGTGGAGGGCTCCGGAAATTTTGACTACCTAGGGTTCTTCAACATGCACCCAAATCTGAGCACACGGGCCTACAACGTTTTTGCCTCCAACGGAAATGCTGCCGCTGAAGCCGGGATTCAATCCCGCGACCTGCGGGTCAGCAGCCGAGACCCTTAGCCACTAGACCACAGCGATGGGGCTGCCTATTTTCCTATGCTCCTGGGCATTTTTCGTTGTTTTGCACGTGTAAACAAAACCTCCAGAAGGCTTGTTGGCGAGGAAAGGAAGCTCTGTAATTTGAAACCCTTTTGTAAAAGCGGCCTTTAATCAAAGGAGATTCCGGCGGCTGTGTGGTTCTGTGGCGGAGTACTAAACCTTCAAAGCCTAATTTCAAATGCTGCTCAATCCTCCTTGTGGGCAATGAATCACTTTATTTTCTCTTTATATAGAGCGCTTCTGTTACATTTAGAAGAAAGCCATATGTATGAGTCGGTAGCATATATTTATAACACCCTGAAAATTCTCAAAACACGCACGAACTACGCACAAAAAATGCCACAGACACAAAATTTCAAACGTGGTAAAAAACCATGATAAAAAAAACTGTTCATGTTGTGAAATACCATATCACAAATATGTATGCGTACAGCCATGATGCAAAAAGAAGCTGACTAACTGTGCCAATGTCACGGTGCTGTGAAGAACATTGATGTAAGCGAATATTTACGTATTCAAATCAGTTGCTTTGGTGGTTTCATGGGAGCTTTCACTGAAGAAGTAATAAAAATTAAAAACTATAAGGTTGAAGGAATACATTGTTTTTAAAAACTGGAGCCATTACCAAGGCTTAGAAAAAAGCAAATTTCATTCCACTGCCTCAATGTGACGTGTATACTATTGTATGAGCTTCTCAGGTGATATAGCGTTCTGACCGGTACAGGTATTTTTCGGTTGATTTAGTATCACTACAAACACAAGAACACGAAAATTATATATGCTTAACTCGCCGTCAGTATACGAAAAAAATCACACGGAGCCACGTATATCGGACACCAAGTTCCATTGGTTGTAAAACTAAATATGGTGAGGTTACAGTGACGTTTCAACCAAGCCTTAGCTTTAAATTACTTCTACTATTTTTTACCCTGTTATCTCGTGTAATCATTCCTAAACTAGCAGCGAGACTCCAAACATTATAATTACAATGTTTAAAGCTGCCAAAAGCAAGTATTTCCGCTCGTTATACAGAGCTACTCGTATCACTTGAATGGTCATCGCTAACTATTCAACACTTTTAACATCCTACATAAAAAAAATGCCTAATTCCGCTTCGCAACGCTAAAATTAGTTCCACAGATGTCTGTAAGGACATGTACATTGAACCTCACTTCATCGTCGTCGACTTCGAGCTCCCTCACGCGGCATTGATATAGTGCAAAAACGAATACAAATGATTTACGTGCCATTTCGCTATTGGAGAGAACATGCATATTAACTAACAGCGTTATGTTACAATTCTGTAACTGCACTGGGAGCTCTGACAAACACTGGGCCTTGCTGTTCTATACTTACGATACGAAGAATGTCTATTTCTCTGGGCGAGTTGTTAGAGTGTTAGCGAAAACTCACTTTTCAAGTAATAAGTTAAATATGTTAGAAACATATAACAAAAATATATGACAGCTGCTGCTATAACAGGTCATGCATAAGACAAAAGCAAATATGTGGTCGCGGCTGGTGTCGTCTTTTTCAACTTTCGACGTCTTGCTTTCCGCTTCGCTGAGAATTGGTGAAGATGTTGACAAATAGCTATGCCCTGTGTTTCAGCCTCTGTATTATTCAGATAGCGTAGAGATCTCGTTTCACTGAAATATCGGCGTCAGCTTCAGCGTCGGTCGTCGTGAACGAAAAATGATCAATTCATTCAACACGAAAAATCAAGAGAAAAGGAAAGAAAATAAACAATCAATCATCCTGGGTCCGAATGGGGACCAAACCAGGGTTGTTTTGGTGCGAGCGGGGACCGAACCCGGGGCGTTTGCCTGGCAAGCGAAAGTTTTAGCAAACGGGTGCGCGTCTGCTTGAGAATACAGTGAAAAGAACTTCCACTGCTTAGAAATATCGTGAAAGCAGCTTTGACGCTTTACGAACGCACGCGTTCTGTATACATACTTCACAATGATACGTAGAATATTGCAGTAATAATGCCTTGTACAAGCACTCATTGCCAGCGTGCGTCAAAACACAGCAATATCAAATTGCTATCGTGATATTGAAACACGTCACCCACTACAAAAAAGACACACATTCTACTGCGCCTATTTCGTTGAGACCACTTATAGACTTAACGCTGAGTGCTTAGCACTGCTTAGTACATAGCAACTTCGAGGATGTTTCATGCACTAAGTGTTTGATGTACCTTTTAGGAACAGTTTATCGTTGTCGCGTTCAACTCCTAAAGGCAAAGCTTCATGGTCCCAAAGCTTTATAGAAAACCTGAGAACCCTTTTTCCATGTCTTAGTAAGTTCTGTCAGAATTGGCAGAAAACTTTTTTCGTGTCTTTGCAGGACACCAGTATAGAAAAGCTTAACATTTGCACGGCTAAAAAATCGGTCCCTGTCGGAGGAACCACTGAATATCATCTTTATAAATGAGCGTATGCCAAAGAAATAAGGTGTAGAACGCAAGGCGATTGGGTAGGTGCCACCACAGTGTCGTCTTAGCAAAGCGTTGGAAACACTGGCCTTTTCGTGCAAGCATTGCATTGTCAGCGCAGCATTCCTTATTTATGCCTTTTATAGTGAAATATACGCATAAATAATATTGACGTGTGTTTACGGTGCCTCAGATATGCGCGATAATTGGTTTCTAATTGACAATCGCCCAAGTATGAACGCTGAACCTTGAGCAAACTTGGTGAGCGGTGCGGATGGGGTCGGCCCACGGTCATTTGGGATATATCCTGGTGGCATTTAGAGTGTCTGGTACCATTAATGATAACCAAACAGAGACATGAGTATACGTACGTAGATAGATAGATAGATAGATAGATAGATAGATAGATAGATAGATAGATAGATAGATAGATAGATAGATACATAGATAGATAGATAGATAGATAGATAGATAGATAGATAGATAGATAGATAGATAGATATATAGATAGATAGATAGATAGATAGATAGATAGATAGATAGATAGATAGATAGATAGATAGATAGATAGATAGATAGATAGATAGATAGATAGATAGATAGATAGATAGATAGATAAAAACCTTCATTGCGTCTTTAGTTCTCTTCTGAGAAAAGTGAATTCACTTTTCGCATAAGAAGGTGTATTTGGTATTGTTTCGTTCCCAAGCAACCTTTCATGATTGTACGGAGATACTAGCTATGATTTATTCCAGGACACGTGCAGTCATAAAATCTTTTCGAACAAAATAACACACACAGAGCCAAGTTTCTGAAAATAAGGTCGATAAAACTCTACCCACGGAACAAATATGTGCTACTAGTCATTTTCAGAAATGTTGTGCCCGCTTGGCACATTCGTCACATCCTTTTCAAGCCACCTTTATTGGTTTGAACTTTCACTGTACTGCTTTAATTATCTGATAGCAAAACACCGGCCTGTTAACGTCAACTTCCTTCACAGCTGACACGTAGGTATACTCTCGCACGTGGTGTGTCGATACTTCCTGTCGAATGAGGTATTTAAAGGCTCACTGTAAATTTGCTTTCATAATCTAAACTGTTGCTCTGTAAGGACCGCATTGACGACTTTGTTCAATCAAGGTGAGTTTTTCTACTTTCATTTCCATGTTGAAACTTACGACAGTTGAAATCAATCGGGAAAAATCATTTGCGTCGCCTTAGTATGTTTGGCAATATATGTTGTACCGAATAAAGCAACGTTTTCATGTTTGTGATCCTGAAGCTGCTTTTACCACTATGTTTTCAGAGATTGCACGTAGATAACGGTGAATAATCGGGTTATTATGCTTTATATAAACGAATCCGAAGGCACAAATTGATAAAGTTCAGGTAATGAAATAACCGCCCATAGCATGCGCTATGTACTTCCATGTTCGTACAATGGAATGCCACCTTCAACACGCCTATATTTATTGCGGACGCTATGATACTTCAGATAAACAGATTAGCCGTGTTCAATATGATCAGTTTTACAGACAACTTTCTTTGTAATATTCGGTGAGACCACCCAAAGAAAACAAGCATTGTCCATACAACATGTTTTTTTAAGGTAAAGGCCTAGTCACAATCTGCTTTGTCAGCATGCTAGTCATTTTGAAAATTGAAGCTTCCGTGAAGTGAGATTGGATGATATGAACTCTTTGTGATGTGCTTGATGTGTCTGAAGAGGCCTGCGCTTCTCTTTCTATATGCAGGACCAACGCTACAGTATCTTCAAGATGAAGTTTACCTCGGCAATCTTGATTGTAGCCTTGGCAGCAGGTACGAGTAACCATCATCGCCCTTACGGAAAAAGTGCTGCACATCGCGCTTCAACTTAAGCACGTGGAAGCTCTGTAGAATGGTGAAGATTTTGGTTTTGTGAATTCAGTGGTAGTCCGAAAATATTCCTAAATAACCATTTGTTCAAACGAATCAAATAGATTTTCACTGAAAACGGCTACAAGGAATCATACTGTGAAGTCTCTACTATATTTTGTAATACCAAGAAACATTCAGGGCGAAGAAAGCACAGACAAGTATTATTCCTTGCTATCGTGTAAGCCTTTGTTACAAGTCTGTAAGGTTGTCTTAAACATAATATATAATCCTAGATTTTCTTATGAAGAAGTGGCCCTGTTGATTAGTTGGCCACGAGAAGACAACTTTTCGGGTTGGCAGGAAGGTGGTGTGACATATCTGTTTCAATGTAATTGCCTAATAGAAAATACGTGTTATCAAATTTGATTAAGCAATTGCGTAGGGCTTTTGATAGTTAAATGGGGTGATTTCACTGATGGTTGGCACAAATTCTTTTTTTCATCACCAAAGTCACTTGAAATATGCACTTTGTTGTCGCTGTAATACCTTTCATGTTTCCTCTGGGGTACCTGCAGCACTCCTGGCGGCCGTAATTGCTGCCGAAGAGATAACTGTTGGAAGTGGAGGAGGTGGTGAGCATAAAATCTTTTTTGTTTTTGCTAGTCACGAGTAAAGTGTTTTGAATAGTTGATTCCTGGTACTAAGAGAGAGCACTCCTCATTTGACCTTTTTAAACCTCCTTCCGTTTTGACACAGGATTTAGTGCTTATAAATAAAAAGTTTTGCATTTGATGAGCTATGAATCTGCTTTCGAATCACCAATAGCTTCTTAGCATACATATGAGTATTAATATGAATAATTTTTTGCGACTATTCTCGTCAGCCAAAGTGCCACAGTGCCCCTATGGCTAGTTCGCAAACTGTGTACCCTGTTATTAAAGTGACTGTTGAATAGTTATAAAATCTAGATATTTCTACATGTTTCTCAGACCACTGCATCATTTATTTACATTTGAGGAGCTTAGAAACAGTAACTTTTCTTGTCTTACTTTAAAATTCTGTCATTATGGTACGTTGGAAGCTTCTTTACATTTAGGCTCCGAAGTTTCACTTTATTTTAGTGTATTGAACGCCCTCAAAAACTCTATGTGCATTATTTTGTAGGAACTGGCAGCGGATGCCCGGACTCCACAGCATGCACCAAAAGCTGTAAGAAACAGGGCTACAGCGTTGGAATCTGTCTAGAGCCTCTTCTTACCGTCTGTGCGTGCTTGTAATACTGAGCTGATCAGACCGTTGAGTTAATAAATGTTTGCTGCGTTGACGACGCACTGCGGTCTTGTTAAATTTTTGTCCTCGTTTTCGTTAAACACTCTAGTAGCTTTACGATTTATCTTTCGTTGTCACCCGCTGACCCTTTCCTTTGTTGATTGGATTTATTGAAGCGAACTACATTACTTGCTCTGGGGCATTTCAACCAGTGCGTTGATTTACACAAGAGGATTTACAGCCGCAGGGTTTCTGTTGATCGATCTCAATCCTTAACTATACGAGAGGCAGCCCAGTTTGTTTTCACTGACTCCTTATTGGTGCTCGTACCGTTGATGACGACTTGCCAGGAAAGTACACGACTTTCACCTGCGTGGTGTGTGGCGGCTTTCCGCATAATGCCGTCGATTTGTGGGGTTCTTCGTTTGGTATTGCATTCTCGGACATGAGCCTTGGACACATACTTACCATTGAAAGAGCTGTTACTCTAGAGGGCTGACTAGGGGACCATGACCTATGATTCTTATCTTGATAGTAGTATTTAACATCTTAATTTTCTTGGCCAGGTGATGGCGAGTCCTTCCGTCTTTAAGGAGACAATGAGTGGGGTTTGTTTTATTTTAGTGTCACTAGATAAAAATTTTAGCTGGGGTATTTGGAAACATTTTGGCACTGTCATTAGTTTTCTTCAAATGAATTTCAGGTAACAGTATCTTGTTGAGAGTCGGAGCTCAGAAAACACTTGGTTTTAGGTACAGTGGCATTAAAGACCGTGTTTTGTACAATAAAACATTGCATACGCTATTTTATGCATAAAACAGACACCTTATGATACGCGCCTTGCAAGATATATTGCGATACTGGTGCACAACAACCAAAAAGTATTCGAGATAGTTACAAAAGTACACGATCCCTGGATACTGCTCACCATACACTGGGGCCCAAAAACGTCAGCGCTTCGAATCTTCTTGTGAAAATCTCTGTATACGAATTCTCAAAACAGCTACAAGCGCACATTCTGAACAATGGAATTCATACAAATGATCCAGTGGCAGCTAAAAAAGCATGAAGGGTATTGTGCGGAGCAGACCTATTTCTACATATTTAGATGATGTGGCTTCGCCCAAAAGAGCCTTGTATCAGAGCACTGCGCATGCCCTACCACTTCAGGTCGAACATTTTGCTCATTTTTATTCGGCTGTGCTGACAAGACTGCACAAATTACACGAGTATCCTGCAGTTTAGGATGTTGCTAACGTAACCCGAAAAAGTTACAAAGGGGGTTGAATTCCTTAAAAATTTTTATAAAAGAGGACCCATTCTTTTAATAATCATTGGCGACGACCGATGGTTTCGCACACTGCTATCGATGTACCACATATAATAGTTTTACCCTGATTTCTTTCATTTTCTTGCGAAAGTTAAGACAATGTATTGTGGCTACTACCGAGAGGGCAGCCTTTTTCGTAACGATTACAATAGACATTTGGTGAAAAAAAAATCTCGTGGAAGTGCTGCTTTGTAAATACTTTAGAAGTTCCCGCGTAAATTCGATATATGTGCAGAGTCATGACGAAGAATACGCTAAGGAACATCAAATATTCCAGCCACAAGGAACAATATCCACCTCCAAACTACGGACTAGTGCCTGACTAAGTAAAGATGTCAAGACAAAGACAGACCAGCAAGGCGATGGTCACTGTGCCTCCTACAACAGTTACTTTCGTTCAGCCCTGGGAGCCGTTGACCTTACGCACACCACCTTGTTCACATACGGAAACCTGGTTGGGAGAATTCGACTGGCTAGCCCTATGAAAATTCTGGGACTACAACGGGAAGTTTCTCTGCGTCTGTTTTTCTCTTGATTTTGCCTTCACGACCTCTTTATGAACACAGAGGCCACTCCGAATACTTAGGATCGATTTTTGCACAGCACCACTAGCTTAGTTCGTATAGATTGCAGCAAGCTTTTTGAGAGGTGTGGACAACTCTAGAACTGGAAGTTAGGGACGTTCACCAATGAAATGGCCCATGCTGACCCAGCTATACTTGGGGAAAAAACGATTTCACACGAATGAATACACTGAAGCACCAACGTGTTCGGGAACCGATAATTACGACGCTTCCTAACACAAATTTTGAAAGTGAGCTCGTGTTGGGGCAGCACCAACTGTGTTGAAAGTGTCTGCTTTCCGCAATATATGAACTACGCCTTTATCACTGTCTTTGTATAGTAGAAGAGCACCAATTGTCTCATTACAAATCTCTTTCAGAAAAAGCGATGTATACAGTAAGCATTCGTTAACTAATTTGGTTTGTTGAATGCGGATGAAACCTATAACAATGAAGACATTTAGCTCAGCACCTTGCAGTTTGGTGGTACGATAAAAGACACAATTCTTGCGCAGTGAGGAAGGCGTGCTTACTGTTAGTTTACTAATCTTCTGCTATATAATACAGAGCTCAAGATCAATCCTTGGTGGACATAACACCTGCATAGGGCTGATGCTCAACCCGCTATACTTGAGGAAAAGATGATTCCACAATTATGCATACACTCAAGCACCACAGTGTTCAGGAAGCTGCGCAGCATTCGACAAATAATTTCGAACACTAGCGTGACTGCTTGGCACAATACTCTGTAGTAGGACTGAAAGGTGGAGGAATGAAAACTTATTCTTCGTTAGGTAGAAAACAAAGTCAATCTGAAAATTAAGGCTTGTGCAGCGATTGCAGAAGCGACAAGGTCCATGTTGTCATACGATATGAGCTGCGTAGACTGCTTTCCGAATAGCAACTCATGCAAGCTGACATTGACATTGTCCGCGTGGTAGTTCGCGATACTCATGACTTGGTCGAACCACGTCTTCATCAGCTCGAGACAACGACATACACTGGTGCATTCTCCTTATATGTGAATAATAGAAAGTTCCTGCGTTAGCGCGGTGGCTAGCGTTCGCTCTAGTATAAGGACGAAAAATTATGTGCGGAATCTGGTCAGAATAGTCTAATACAATCAAGCTTGCAACTTTAAACTTCCAGAAGGTCTCCATGCACTGCGGCGCGAGACGCGTCATTCATCGAGCGCAGGTTATGTAGGCTGGCGTTACGGAGGCAAAACGACGCATAGCATAACAACATGCACCCTACTGAGTCCAGACAACTCTTTATCATCTTGTTCCTCGAGCGCCTTAATAATGATATTGTCACAAATGGGTGACAGCAGCCAAAGGACAGAAGACTGGGAAGTTACTAATAATAAACGGGAACACGTTTATTTGGCAAGTTTGCGCTAATAAAAGAAACTGTAAACCTCGGCGTCGGGGGCAGCCAACAAGTGCGGGGCGGCCGTCGAAGGTAGGAGAAGAAGATAGACATTGTCGACCATGCGAGGTACGCCCCTTCGATACGTTTGCCTACGCTGGACAGTGGTAATGCCGGATGAATCGCTTCACGTCCCGTATCACAAAAAGGTAAGGCTGTGGGCTGATATGCACCAAAAAGACATGTAAATGCTTGTTGGTGATTTTGGGCGCGGATATGCGCTCTCGTATTTTGTCATCTTATGGCTTAATGCTCGCAATACTATGTAGCAAAACAAAAAAGACAAAAAGAAGCGAGCAATACAGACGAGAGAAAATGAAACAAAAAAATGCCGCCATATCCACGAAGTGAATGATGATGAGTGGGCGAAGCTCTGGAGGTACACCTGGTAAACCATGAATCCTCCGTACATTTTGCCCACTCGATTTTATTGCAACGCTCCCCCTAGCGTACGTCACCGCACTATATCGAGCGATGATACGCGCCATATATGGCATCATTCCTATTTTATAACACCTCGCATCTTTCATAATCAACTACACGTACCGCCGTCTAGTTTATAACATCTTGCATCTTTTCGACGGACGGACGGACGGATGGACGGACGGACGGACGGATGGACGGACGGATGGATGGACGGATGATGGATGGACGGATGGATGGATGGACGGACGAACGGACGGACGGACGGACGGACGGACGGACGGATGGACGGATGGACGGATGGACGGATGGACGGACGGACGGACGGACGGACGGACGGACGGACGGATGGACGGATGGATGGATGGATGGATGGATGGATGGATGGATGGATGGATGGATGGATGGATGGATGGATTGACGGACGGACGGATGGACGGATGGATATGGCTGTACTCTTTAGATCGGGCGGTGGCTAGCGTAATACTTAGAACTGAACGAGAGGTGGCTATATACAGGGGACGCACAGCTCATGCCTTAAGGAGCTTCGCTCCTAAAAAACGAAACAGGACCTAAGAAGGTTGCCCAGCTCCGCCTTCCTTCAAAAATAGTGCAAGTGTCTTTTTTGTGAGTGAAGTTGGGTCATGCGGAAAGAAAGAAACAAGTTTACGTGATAACAAATCATATTTGTGATATCAAGCTCCGTTGATACGCTTACGGTAAATCAGATACCCAGATTATGCTTATTCTTCTATGATTCATTGATATGTGGGATTTAACGTTCCAAAACTACCATATGATTATGAGAGACGCTGTAGGGGAGGGCTCCGGAACTTTCGACCACCTGGTGTTCTTCAACGTGCACCCAAATCTGAGCACACGCGCCTACAACATATCCGCCTACTTCGGAAATGCTGCCGCTGAAGCCGGGTTTCAATCCCGCGACCTGCGGGTCAGCAGCCGAGACCCTTAGCCACTAGACCATTACGACGGGGCTGCCTATTCTCCTATGCTCCAGGGCATTTTCCGTTGCTTTGCACGTGTAAGCAACACCTCCAGAAGGCTTGTTGGGGAGGAAAAGAAGCTCTGTATTTTGAAACTCTTTTGTAAAAGGGGTGTTTATTCAAAGGAGTTTCCCGTAGCTGTGTGGTTCTGTGGCGGAGTACTAGACGTTCAAAGCCTATTTTTAAATGCTGCTCAATCCTCCTTGTGGGCAATGAATCACTTTATTTTCTCATTATGTAGAGGGCTTCTCTTACACTCAGAAGGAAGTCATAAGTATGAGT